GACCAGGCTTGCCTGTGAGCCGGTGAAAAATACATATAGAAGTTGTATCGCCTTACTTGATGCGGGGGTTATGGCCTATGGTTACATTTCGACACCATTGGTGGAGTGCCACCGGGCTGCCGTATTTACCCATTCCCTCCTAATGTCTCATGTGAACATTCAACAGAACACTTCATCTGATCTGGCAGACAGTAGAATCGAACTCCTCCCCAGAAACCTCGAGACTCATTATTGCGTTTTGGTATTGACAGCTGTTCTTTAAAACGGGAAATCACTCGACATTGACTTCTTCGGTTCGATTACGTTTTGCGTAGGAATGTCCATTGTCTGTCATTCCATGTTCCCTCTGACCGTATTGAAAGTAGAGGTGCGGCGATAAAATATTGATCTATTATGGAAAACTCAGTTGATACAATCCACCTTCCATGTTGGAGATAAGGGTTTTCGATGGTTAGAGACGCTGATAAATATATATCTCGTAATAGAAGACTGTCTATAAAAGACTGTACTAGGTAAGGGGACAAAGAAACAAAAAGCGCATGATGAAACAAAATGAGAACATGGCTGCTATCGTCATTTCTGTTCTCCGTATTTCGCTCACTCGTACTCGTCGGCAAATTGCATGTTTGGTCTTTGGTCAGACGTTGATTCACTGGGGTTCGGACGCGATGCACGTCGGAAAGAAAAGCACCATAGTGACTCAAGAGACGCGAAAACGATCAGAGTGTAGCCAAATCATTTGGTGGTGGCACACCTTGAATGACTTTGATGTTCTCTCAATCTTTGTCTAGCATGAAAACAAGAATAAGTGAGACAGCTATCCTCTCGGATTTTGAAACCATAACTTCGCATCTGCTTCAGCACTGCGTTTAGTCAGCTAAAAGTTCTTTTTTTGTTAGATCTATTACGATGCTATCATGGAAGCATGCTGCAGTACCCCTGATACCAGCCAACATCGTGTCCATCAGCTGTTGAAAATTCGTGGGCGCAAATTTGACACCGATTCAGGTTGGCTCAGTCATATAAAAGATTCTTTTTGTGGTAACGTCTCGAAAGGAAATGTCACAGTTGACTTCCACAGTTGATTTCAGCTCACATCCTGACGCATTTTTGCCTTTTGGTCGAAGGAATAAGTTCCGCAATTGTTGCAGAAAAAGCGGTCCCCGCAGCAAAACTGTGAATTTTGTTCATCCCAGGCCACTTTTGTGCTTTCAACTCAAGGATAAACTGTCTGTTTCTGCCGTCTCTTTCTGTGTGTACTCTTTTACCTGCTCCTGTGGAACAATGTATATTGGCCACACGAGCAGACGTTTACCCGAATGAGTCCGCGACCCCCACCTGGCCTGGCTGAATAATGAAGTAATTAGGAGCATTAACAACTAAATTGTTTTACACCTGGTGGAATCAAACCACGTGGTTAATGCGGCCGAGGCGTTTCGATCCCTCTACTTAGTTCGCAGCAGTTCGATCTAAGAGGATTAGGAGTCGGATTTTGGCCACAGCAGAAGTAATCGGAATCCCCCTGCATCCCCCCCCCCCGTGCACCCCAAAACAATCCGTAAGAACATTCGGTCTTCCATGGTCAACACCACACACAACACAGTCCTGCTCCCACCCACTCCTAATGACCCGAACCAGTGCGCACGTGTGAGCAACATCCGGTCATGGAACTGGAATGTGGATTATCTCTGTCCAACTTGTCATGATTCCCCCCTCCCTCCCTTCTAAACAGTTTGATGTAAATTGTGATGTATTAGCCTGTAGAAGAATCACCGCTAACGAGCTTGTTCGCTACTCTGTTTTCTTACAATGTGTAAGGATGGTATATTCGGACAATCCAGTAGCACCGAGAAAACACTGGCTATCTTCCAGAGTGGCGATTGGTCAAAATCTATTTTTCATTGATACTGAGAGAATTTCCAGAGAAAATGAGGTTTTCCCTGACATGTAACATCTCTCTGTCGCACTCTCATTGTCTCAATACTACTCGCTGGTATAGTAGGCCGTCGATTGTCTGCTGCATGTTTGAGAACCAGACTGAGTTTAAACCCGATCTAAGTTCTATAGATCGCAGCTTCACTTATCGTCAAAATCTGGAACACAGACACTTTCCATAGACCTGTCATTTCACTGTCTTTCTCTCTCTCACCCTCGGTCGGCTTTTGCCTCAGTCGATTACTATAAACTTGGGCACTACTCTGAAAGAGGCACCAGAGACGTTCATTTCAATTTTCCGATCTCTCGATACTAACAATAGAAGTCGACTCCATGTTCGCAGCACTTTTTCACTCGAGTTCATTACAGAAAAAGATGTTAGTCGGGGTTACCCTTACTCTCCTCTTCTGGGTATCTTACCCAGAGGACGCACAATGGAAAAAGTTTCGGTGTGTATAGAGAAGGCTCCATTTGCACTTACTAACTCTCGACAGTCTGTAAGGGGAAGTGTGTACGCTGCAGCAGTTCGGTCTGTGCTGCTTTATGGCGCAGAGAGTTGATCATTAAAAAAACGAGATCAACAGTTCTAGTGTTTTTCGAAGCAGGTGATCAACAGAAAAAAGAGTGGTCAAACTGAGTCCAGGCAAGAGGGTATGAAAATCCTGATCAGGAGAATTCCTTTTGGATGGAGACATCGAGATCAGCGCCATCAATGAATAGAGAAACTGTGTAATATGGCTCAGTGTCCTAAATCTTAGTCTCTATGATTTCTGTATTCAAACTCTGACACTGATTTGAACATTCCAATGTTTCCCATGGGTATCAAATTTATCCCAATCTTAGACCAAATATGGCCGCATTTGCAATCAATAAAACAGGAACAAACGCACCCAAAGGTCAAGCCTGGGAAGTAGACACACTGTAGTTTATTAGCCACAATAACCCTAGAGATAATTCATTGAAGAAGAACCTAGAATGAGCTTACGATTCACCAAATCGGATTCATCAAGGAAGCCCATAGAAATCGAAGAATAGCATTCATACACCTACAGAGCAAAACGAGAAATAATTTGTCAGTGATTAAACACCTATTTTATTGGGATTGGGAAGAATATTACAAAAGAGTAACGAACTAATGCTTTTCGACAGTTGCTATGATGGTGGCCATTGTAAAATTCGTCTGGCATAAGTGATCAGGTCCAATCGACAGCAATCTCAGAAGAACCAGACCACGATGACACAAAGGTTTACTGGAGAAACTGTGAGCACGCTCAGATGGGCCAAAGTACTTAGTATCGCAGGTTTCAAGTTTTCTCGTCACTCTGGTACAAACCGACCAGCAGCTTCCCAGCTCATTCCTGTACGAGTTCACTTCCCTACCTTATGCTATTTTTTCTTTCACAATGGACAGTTCCGGTTAAAGTGAAACCCAACTTTTGCCGATGACCTTAGTTTGCATCATAGTGCTTCCCCATCCAGCGATCCGCCAACATCAGCAAAAAACACGATATAGTGGCCTTAAGGCTTCTTTGAATCCCGACATTGGGCATATCCCTCTACTCCAGGTTCCAACGACCATGCGGTCTACACACGGCTTCCACGATCCTCATGTTTACTGTGTACACGTGAATATCAATTACCCGCCCTCACTGTGATTCGGCTTCCTCGTCTTCCTCAAATCCTCGCTTCCTTTGGGATCTCATTACTTCGATTTCACTCGTGTTCTTGATCACTATCGGTTTTCAGTTTTTACAACCACTAACCATGCACTTTCGTTCGCCGATTTTGGTTGCCCGTTTGGATCAAAGAGCAGAAGGAAGGTTGAAATGTTGAGAGTAAAGTCGAAGGAAATAGAGAATTCACATGGACTAAGGTTGCAAAGATAATGAGTAGATGCAGATCTCGTGAAATGCTCCTGTAAAATCAAGCTTCTCAAAAAGCCTTCGCTAAGGAAGTCCTACTCACTGGCCTGTCGTGGCAGAAATACGAGAAGACAAAAAGCCAACGTCCAGGGTTAAAACCAAGTCGGTTAACCAACTAGGGGATTGGCTATAAACCCCGATTGCAATCCGACCAATAAGAGGCGTACGAGCCATGCCATTGATTGTGCCAGTCTTTATCGGGTCGATAGGACATCGATGCTTGACACTATTCAAAACCGGGAGTATGACTCGACGGACTGAACACCGGCCTCCAATGGATGGCGGTTTACAAACTCCTGTCCGCTAACTTGCGCATCAGGATCTGACTAACCGAACACTGTGGTGAATTTCCTAAGAAATGCACCTGTTTTGGCTTAAATACCCTGGCAGCATCCCGCCCACTAGTAACTAATGAACCATTTTAAGTTCTGTTAAGAGTATTGTACCATAATTTGTTTGGTACACAGATTGGACTTAGACAGGTGCGAAGTATCATATGACAAAATAGTACCATAATTTAAGTGCACATGCGGGGTCATGCGAACTAGGCCAACCATTTACTTCAAGGTCGATTAGGTTTAGAATATTGACACAAACACCATTCGTCTACTGAAGCCCGATCTGTACTGCAGACAGGTACTCCAAATTCCCAGGGTGGAGCCAGATCGTTTCCATGGGTGCGTGGTGCTGACTACGTAACTGGAATTCCCTTCCGCTTCCACGGAAAACCCGGCATTCATTTGAGTCTGTCGTAGACCCATCAAATTCCTCTATCACTAATTAACCTTCTACTTTACTTCCTCCCCTAACACAGACAAACTTGTTCGTTGTCTTGAATAGATATGACTTCAATAACTTACAAATCAAAGCACCGAAGACGCTTATTCGTACACTATTTGGATTATGAATTTCCAGCGTTTTCTCATAACCCGTTGACGCATTCGTGCCACACAACAGGTGAACGAAACTTGTACCTGGCACGGAAATTGAGAATCCCAACTCACAAATATTATCATGAAAGATAGAAAATCATAGGGAATTCCCCTGGACCGGTAGGACTTTTGATGAGTCCGAAACTTTACTTCGCCGCATACCATCATAATTCTGAGAATGACCCCAATTAATTTGAAATAACTCATTCTGTCACGCGAGTGACAAGGGGCGAAGAGTGAGAGCACAGACACGCTGGAGCAGACTGTGGATACCTACCAGGAGGCACCCCAACACGATGCGAGAGAGTCGGACATGCGGTCCAAACACTAATTTGGCATCGACTCGCAAAACCCTCGGGGGCCAGATATCACCATCAGCACCAACCTGGTTCGTTGGATCCGAGAGAGTAGTCGGTTCGGTCGGTAGTGAGGATGGACCATCGATGGACTGATCCCATTCCATGGTAGAGCCTTGTACGGAATCCAGCAGAGCCTCTTCCGCGTTCAGAACCAATCGCACTCGAAATCGAGCGTTCTGATAGCTGTTCCGTTCGGCCAGAATTTTCGCATGACAGGTAGAACAAACTTGTGCGAACTGGCTGGGCTGTAGACACCAGTTTGATTTACCAGATTGATCGGGAATTAAGTACAACGGTGGATAAACCTCGGCAGAGTGATCGCTGGGTGTTGTGTCGGAAGAGTCCTCATCTAGGGTAGAAGTATCCAGGGCTTCTGATTCTTTGTAATCCTCACCCTCTTCATCTTCTTCCTCGTCTGACATGCCTTCACCAGCCTCACAACCAGTAATCACTGAAGTATCGCGTGGGGGATAGAACTGGGAAAAAGTGGACCATTCCTCTGCCGTAATAGGACAGAGAACAGCATCGGAAATCAAGGTCCACCAGGGCATGATGAGCTGAAATTGAGAGGCAGTTGGAAACGAAGTTCAGAGTGAGCATTAGAGATTACTTTCCGTAAGAAAGGAATGTCACAATAAACAATGGTATGGGACACTGCTTTCCTTCTATCAACGATGTGCCAGAATATCGTGCATTGCAAACGGAACTAGAAACGCCAACATTTTAATAGAAAGCTACATAACTCGCGTTACGAAAGATACGTAAAAGGTATGCGCTATGGCGGAGTCCCGGGAAGAGTGTGCTTGCAAACAGAGTGCATGCAAACTAGATGGGAACAATTCGATGATCCGCCTCGAAAGCCTCATTACAGTTTTGAGTTGTGACCAACCATCATTCCCTTGCATCTCACGAAATGCTCCTATACGACCCAGCGTCTCAAACAGGCAGTGCTGAGGAAGCCCTACTCACTGCCTTATCGTGCTGCAGGTGTTTTCCCACTAATGTGAAACGAAGAAAAGTCAACATCTGGGATTATAACAGGATGGGTGAACCACTGACAGTTCACCCAAGGGAGTCGGTAGGAAAACCTGATTCCGAATCAACAAACAGAGGGCGTACTAGCCACAGACACATCCCTCTGTGGTTGTGTTAACCAGATCGATTGGGTATGGAGGTGTATTGGGTACGTTGGGCGTTTGACCCCGTTCAAAGAGTGGATGATCCAGCGAACTGGGCATCGGCCCCCAACGGACTGCGGTTTAACACACCGCCCGGCAGCCTTGCGAGTCAGGCTTTGGCTAGCCGAAGGCTTCGACTGTGAATGTCGCAAGAAAAGTTACTTGCATTGGTCCGGCAACCTGGCAATATTCTGCCCACAAACAAATTATGGAAAGTTCAATTTTTATAAAGATTAGTGTACTTTGGTCTGTCCGGCACGCCATCTAGCCTTCGACGTACGTGAAATATATATGCACATATTTGACGTGCGAAGGATAGCGTTCATATATACGTACGCACAGGGCGTTTGCCGAGGCAGGTGATGGGTAAAAATAAAATAAAGGGTGGTAAAACTAAGACCCGGCATGAGGGTCTGATAACCCTGAGCAACCGACCTGCCCAAAAAGGTCACATCAGCCTTCCAGAATGGCGACATCAGGATCAGTGTAATCGATAGTCAGGAACACTGAGTGAACTACTACAAGATTGGGTTGGTGCAGCACCCAGTCTCACCCTAACTGGGGAAGTAGTAGAGGAACTAGACAAATATTGCTATCTGGGCAGCTATATCTCACCTGGCGGACGCATCACAGATGAAGTGCCGGCGCGGATACAAAAGGCTCGGTTGGCATTTACCAACTTGAGACATCTGTAGCGTCGTCGCGACATACGGCTGTCTGTGAAGTGTNGTGTCGGGAACAGGATAAAAATAGATTACCGGTGTTCGAACATCGATGTCTACGTCGCATTGCACGAGTCTGGTGGGTTAATCGGACGAGCAATGCTGAGGTCAGGCGCAGAGTTTTAAGCAGCCGGGGTCGTCCACTGGAGCAATTGATCGACCTACATAAATTACATTGGTCGGGGCATATGTCACCAGATGGGTTGCCGCGGCGAGCGATGTTTGCCAAGGCTCATAACGGTTGGAAAAAGATCAAGGGCGGTCAAACTAAGACCTGGCATGAGAGTACGAAAACCCTAACCAGGAGACTAGGTCACTGACTGGGGACCTCGGGATGATGGTCACCGATGGTTAGAGGCACTGGTTGATATGGTTGGGCGTCGCAAACAGTGGCGCTCATGCATCCACTCATTATTCCCCTATCACTGATCTATATGAATTCTCCATCTTCCGCTTGAATTTGCTTTCCACATTCCAATCTTCTTTCCGCTCTTTTATCCAAATGGGGCACCAAAAGAAAGTAACCAAAACCGGCGCACGAAAGTGTGCATGGTTAATGGTTGTAAAAACTGAACTGAACTGAGCACCGAGTGATGCGACTGAGTACCGTAAACAGTCGCGATCGTTCATCCACACAATTTCCAATCAAATTCACTATTCGCGAACCCTCTTTAACTCTGGCACTGATTCCTTCGTTCAAATAGGCGATCATGACACAGCAACCAAAGCCGGTGCATGGTTAACTGTTGTGACAGCTGAGCAGAACGTAAATGATNAATGATATTCAATAGCTGTTGTCTGTGAATTCGTCTGTATGAGCACCAATATTATTAGTACAGAGAAAATGTTTACTCAACCACTACAACGAATATATCGGGAGCCTTCTCGTGGATAAATAAAAAAAGTAGAATCAGAATGGTAGAGCTCCATTCGCATTGTATTCCCCTTGCACACCAATCATGAGTGAGGAAGATAAAAAATTCCATTCCGGAATTTCCAGGATCTAATTCGATGGGGTCAGTGCGCAAAATTACGCCTGACTGATATGGAATGCTTTTGAAAAGTGACGATTCTCGAAACAGACGACAACGAGAAAAGAATGACATTCGCAAATGTCCTTTACTCAGACTAAACTAGTCAACTCTAAATGATCCTTGATTTCGANTTCGAAACATCGATCGAGCTTGGAGCGGACGGTACTGAAAAGCCTTATGGAATCCCGGTTGGCTTTCCAACAGGCGAGAAAGACGGCGCGAAAATCAACAGGACAAAGTATGTATGCCGACGGTGCAATGATACATTTCCAAGCAATTTACGGATTACTTTGGGGAAATGGTAAACAAAGTAACGTACGGAAAGCTCATATATAACGAACAGGCTAGTTAACTTCAAATTGGCTGGGTGCTGTGGAATTGAGGATCTATCGGAGCTGGGCCATCAAGTTTGAACGATTTGACAATTTGCATCTGTCGAACCAGAAAAAATATCCGACAGTATAAAACCTATGTTCTACCGAGATCGACAGCTTAGCGATTACTTACATGACTGTGAGGACAAAGAACCCGTGGGTCATTCAAACCGGATGGCAAGCACTTCAGCACTGTTTGTGGACTGGGATTGCGGATAAAACGACGCCAACGATTTATGAACTCCATGGGAACTAAATAGATGGCCTGTGGGTCAGGCGAACAAGGCTCTTCTCGTTTCAATTTCACTAGGGGCCCCTTATTGATTTGTGTGGATGCCAGTTGACCGTGCTCGGACAGTGGTGACGCAGTGCTGCAACGAAAACACAAAAAATCAGACAGTTCAAAAGGGGCCAATGTGCCACACAAAAAAGATTTTTACATCAAAGTCGTTAATCCAATGTATTACGGAAAAAATGAATGGGCATGTACACACCATCCCGCTACCGATGATTAAAAACTGTGACGAATAATAACAACTCTGGTTATGCGCTGGTCACCAGTAATGGTGATTAACATCTGGAGTTGCGATTATTTAGTATTAGAAATGGCATTCTTACAACGACAGTACTGATAAATAATGATAGTAACAGGTTAAAGAAATCTATTGTTATCACCTGGAGACGTGAAAAGGAATCTAACCAAGAATAAAAACGTAAGTTATCCAGTGAATCACATACAGGTGAAATGGACACTGACACACAAAAAGCGACAGTAAAACCGACTCTACGTACAACCCCACCTCCCGCCCCGATCACAAAAAAATGAACTCATGGTGTGACAGGGCATTCGGTAGTACATCTCACTTTTGTCAGACACGTAGGCCGGGAAACTTGGTGGATGAGTTCAAACAAGCCGAAATGAAGATCGGTTGTAGTAAAGCAACTTTAAACTCACTGTGTAGTGGTGAACCCCTGGGAGTGGGCTTTTCGGGGAGAGAAGCAATCAGTGAGGAACGTTCGAATTCGCGTTTCTTCCCCCTCGGGATCGTTATCCCACAAACTGCTGGATAACGGAGCATTCAGACGTCGAGCACTTGGCGTGAACACACTGGTTAGCAGTTGACGTTCTTTCAGAGCACGTTGAACCATGTTCGATTCGATTAGTTCACATTCGGTACATTTGTTGCTTGTAAGGTTCTCATTATTTGTTTCGTATGTGGCACCGAGGACGTTTATTTCGGGTGGGACAGGAAATGTCGGAATCACAGCACCAGGGAATAGAGCGACCAAACGATTCCACAAAGCGGCCGGCAAACGGCGCAGGGATTTCGAATCGGCTCGAAGTTTGCCATGGGGACAGAGCACATCCGCGTTGAACTTTGTAGTGATTATGCGGGATGCGACGGCCTGGTCACCGTCGGCGTATCGAACTTTCACATAGTCCCGAGCGAGAATACGCCAACGAAGTAACGATCGGCGACCGATCCAGTAGTAGCTGGGTTCCTCATTCTCTTTCGTGCAGACAGACTGAGGGTATGGTGGAGAACAAACATGAGGTTATCTAAATTCATGATGTTCGTAATTAAACATCAGGATAGTGGGAAAAAATGAATTCGGACTGACGTCTTGTGACATATACGGTTCAGACATTGGATCTAACAACAGAAAACTAACCGAACAATAGACAAATAGCTAGTGAAATGCAAATTGGAATATCGTACTTCTAACAGAACGTGCTACCAAACAATCAGTTTGTAAGAGAAAATATTCAATGCTGTTCGAGACCACTGGTCAGTCAATGAATCAATCAACGTTCGATTAAGCAAACATACCATTGCCGGAGCAGGTGTTCCAACAAACGAAACTCCATTTGGCAATCGAAGGTAAGCATCCACGCTCTTGGAGATTTCTTTGATCGAGCGCTTCAGCTGTGA